ATGAATTTCTCAACACCAGGGACACCTTGATGATCGTCGGGGCTGCTGACTTCACAATGATACAATTTTCTTAGCTGTGTCTTGAAAAATTCATACATTGTACGCGTATAACACTGAATTGCCTGCTCCTCCCACTTGAACATTGACTCACACACAATTTAAAAGCCCTTTGACCTGTATTCTGCTTCAACTCTTACTCATGCTTAGCTCTTATAGCTAACTCATACTGGTGAACAAACATCCTAAGAGTAATTTGGCGGGTAATATATCCATCAAAGAACGCATGCATCCCCTTACTTCTTTGCGTAGATAGCATACCAGCCCAAAAATACACATCAAAGTACATAGGAACCCATTTTTCCTTTTCATAGTAAAGCTTGTTAAACCAATTCCTTGTATGCAAATTATACCTTGCAATATATTCTGTCCATTTTCTCTCAAAAACTTCAACAGTAATGCTATCAAGGACCATTGATTTAAATTCTCCACGTGCAATTTTAGAAGGACGAACACCACTTAAGTAAAGGGGCAACTTTGAAAATATATGCCAAATACAATACATATGTATTGTATTTGGCATCACTTCAGCAATGGCTGGCTTAAGGCTCTGACACTAATCAGTTATGATCACATTTGGATGAACATTTCCCATGGCCTCTAAAAACTAATTTATAAGTATCGATATCTTCATGAGACATGAGAGCATATCCCAATAAGATGGACTGTCTATGGTGAGTGATGCCAAAAAATGTAGCACATGGCATATTATATCGATTCACAAGGTATGTCGTATCAAAGCATATCGCATCATGGAATTGTTTATACGCTACCTTACAGTGTGAATGCACCCATACCATATTTCGCAGCCTACCAATATTATTAACATTTATTGAATAGAAAAACTCCCTATCCTTTACCTACATTTCACGAAAAAAGTTGAGCAGCGACTGTGCGTCCCCTTCTTGTATTTCAAAATTTCTACTCTTTAAAATAAAATTTCTACAATCCTTTGGAGTGCAACCCAAATTTTACGGTCTACCACGTTGAACCTCAGCAAGTCTAATATTATTACAGGGTCTAATACCAAATCGATCGTGAGTTACAAGATCCATCTTCAAAGAATCACAAACGGACCTATGTCCAGCTATCAGGCACGATATGGAAGGGAGCAAATCATGGTTGTGATCCTGAATGACCTTAGAGTGTAAGGCCCCGTAAAATTTTGCAAAAAGAAAATAATATTTCGCAAACTTGCCGCGGCTCAGACGTTTTAGGTTGAACAATGCACGGGAAAGTAAAGAAAATTTTTTGGCAGAATAGCACATTTATGCGGTCCATTATGCGACCACATAATCACTCTGCGGGCCGCAGAAGTAAGGCAGAAGAGGATCAACTTGGATGCAATTATGCGGTCGACTATGCGACCGCATAACTGTTTTACGGTTCATTATGCGATCCCAGAACAGTTATGCGGACCGCATAGTGACCGCAAACACATGTAAATTTTTGGTCATTTTGGTAAGCAATTATACGACTGATATGCGGTTCGCATATTGATTATGCGATCGCATAACCTGTTCCGGAGCTTCATTTTTGGGGTTTTAAAACCCGACTCTATTTCATTAAATACACTCTTTGGGCCATTTTTGAGTTATAATCTGATATTTTAGAGTGAGAGAGAGTGCCCTAGAGTGAGAATATGTTCTTCAACAATTATTCTTCAATTCTTGCCCAAGTTTTGAAAGATTAAGAAGGGAAACTCACTAGGTCTTCATCCTAGAGGTAAGATTCTACACCCTAACTCTTCTTTAAGAATTCGAATTCCCATTATCCTTATAAGTTCTGAGATGTTGATTACAAATCGAGTATTCCGATAAGTTTTGTGATGAAGATATATGTTCAATTCGTGTTTCAAATGCTCTTATCATATTACATTATAAATTGAGGATGTGTCTTAAACTATGGATTGTGTATCCACATGTTATAATTTTAAGTCGTGATTTATGTGAAAGTTATTATGCCAAGTTGTGTAGAGATTGTGATTACGATACACCTCCACCCACATATATTGGGGTAAGGCGGCATGATCGCTTTGTGTGGGGATTATGGTATTGTGGGACTGCACCTCCACCCGCATACATTGAGGTGAGGCGGTACGACCGCTTTGTGTATAGTTTTGGTATAGTTGTGGCACCACCACCTACATATATACATTGGGGTGAGGCGGCATAGCCGCTTTGTGTTGGTATTGGTGTCATTGATGCATTTTCACCCGCATACATTGGGGTGAGGCGGCATAGCCGCTTTGTGTAGGTTCTTAGTACTGTGGTTATACATCCTCCCACATACATTGGGGTGAGGCGGCATAGCCGCTTTGTGTAGGTTCTTAGTACTGTGGTTATACATCCTCCCACATACATTGGGGTGAGGAGGCAGGGCCGCTTGAGTAGAGTTGTGGTATTGTACTTACACCTCCACCTGCATTCATTGGGTGAGGCGGCGGGGCCGCTTTGTGTGAAGATGGTTACAGAGGATCTCATCTTAGATCCTATAAATATTATTGATAGCTCTTAATAAGCTTGCTCTGGTATAAACGGTTATCTATATTATTCTATTGCCGCCCGATTCATCATATTCATATTGTATTTCTGAATTCTTAAATTGGTGTTTGGTTTTCATACTAGTACTATTCGACAATACTAATGTCCCTTTTACCGGGGGCGCTGCATCTTTAAATGGATGCAGGTGGTTCCACAACAGAAGATATTGATCAGTGATAGCAACACACCTTCTTCCCAGCTGACTTGGTGAGCCCCACTTTTATCCCGGGGTCATGTATCTTTTGTTCTTTGTGTATTCTGTTTGAGGTATAGCCGGGGCCTTGTTGCCGACATTTTCATTGTACTCTTCCTTATCTATAGAGGCTCCGTAGACATAGTGTGAGTTGTGTATTGGTACTGGAAAAAATAAACTATGTTATGTTGTGGTTGTATTACTTGTCCCATTGAGACTTTAAAAATGATGAAAAACTATTGGTAATGAATTGGTATTGTAGACATGATCACGTTTTTGTCTAATTAATGGAAATATGTATTATCTTCATTCGTGGATGAGTTTGGATAGGAGAAAATCTAACAGGCTTACTCGGTCGGGTTTACTCGATTGAGCACCGGTCATGCTCCTCGATTTTGGGGTGTGACATAGAGACGCGCCAACAACCAGAATCATCCAAAATAGCAGCGAGCCTAGATTTACAATTGTTACTCTTGGTAGAAAACTTTATTTTGCGAATCCTAGCCCTATCACAACAGTAAGTTATGTACCTGGCAGTGTTACCACCGTTCTTGTTGGAATTTTTTTTGACGACGGAGAATCCTTTCAATCGTGCATGTTCTTTGTAGAATGCAAACAAAGAATCGTTATCTCTAAATCGCATTCCAGAGATTGGACCTACAACCACATCCTCTTCAGTGAATTCATTCTCTATTTTCTGATCAACATCACATAATTCTAACTCATTTCCTAAAACCTGCTCCTCATCATCGTCAGCTTCTCCGTAATATTCTCCATCGGGTTCTTCATTATCATCATCTAAGTGCACATCATTGTTGAAACTGCCGTGAGAATCAACATCGACCCATTCGTATTCATTCAACAAACTGTCGTCCGATGTCATCCCTAAAGATCTGTACAACTCGTCCCTAACCCGATCAAACCTATTATCTTGGTTCATATTCATGGTTGTTGTATTTGTGTTATGTTCATTTGGATTTATATTTTCTTGCACCACCAAATTTTCTTGGTTTGAATCCATTTTTAGATAAGGAGAAAGTGTCCACTTGACTTGGTTTGATAAGGAGGAACTATACTAAATCGTATACCGTATTTGTTTTTAAGAAAATACAATAATTTGTATACACATAAATACAATGAAAATACAAATATAATGCGAAGACTCTTCAGCTACCAACATTTAATTTTCGTATACCTCAATGCTTGGGAATAGGAAGAGCCTCTCCACATTTAATTTTGTGTTTTGGAGGGAAAAATGTAGGCTAAATAGTTAGGGGGTCTTTGATGTCTTTTCACGCGTGTGGCCAAAGTTGGGCCGTTTAGCATCACGCGATAAGAAAATGAAAGTATTACTTTTTTATGCTCAAAGAAAAATAGTTACACCTTGCATAGGATGCTGGCTACTATATCCTCCCATCATTGTTTGCCAAAACATTTCATCGTCTATTGAATATGAACTTTATTGTCGCTACAATTGAAGGCTGACTCTTTTTTCCGAAAAAGAACCTCTGCTTTATTGTAAGAGGACACACATATCTTTGTGTAAAATTACAAATAAGCCTCTCATTTATTCATTTGTTTCGCCCATACTTTTCAATGACGTAGTTATTTTCATATTTATTTTGCTTACATTAAGTTTTATACAACTATCAATGTAATAAATATTATACACAATCAAGATACTTAAAGGATAAATGCAAGTAACTTTATTTAATAAGTATCCACCGGTAATCTATAAGAACGCCAAGTTAAGTTTCAGTGATATTATAAAATTCTTTACACTATCAATATATATAAATTAAATGAGTGGTGATGAAAGCTCCACACAAAATAGTACGTCAATTGGGTCCCAACAAGTCATGTCATTAAGGATAAAATAAGAATATTATAGTTAATATTTTTTTAAAAAAAATGGTTATTCTATTTGGGAAAAGGAACATATCGCGTAAAATGGGAAGAGGAAGTAATTTGTTGCATTCTAATCCTAGTAGGTCAAATCCAACTATCCAAGTCTAAAAATGCCTTAATAACAAAAGGAAAAAATGTTACGTGCAGCCAGGAATAGGATAACCATTGTTAATGCTAAGTCAATATTGAGTAGTGAAATGTGAAGTAGAGTATCTTTTTTACATGGTTGAAAGAGATTCATGGCTAGTTCTTCAATGACTACGCAGGACCATTTAATGTGTTTCAGTTGGTGGGCCTTTGTTTACCTGATTCACATGTGAGGTTGGTGAAAAGCATCATCAACCTATTATTGGCGTTGGCATCAATATACTCTGCTTAACCAAAGCTTTGATGTTTTTAGTATATATAAATATGTGCACACGTCTGTGATTGTTGAGGGGGTTGTGAGTTGTTGAAGCTTTCGCGTGTGTGTGTGTGTGTGTGCGCCTGTGGTTTTTTTTTTTCTTCCTATGGGACAGCTATGTGTGTGTGTATGTAGCAGTTGTGTTGAGACTAGTGATTTAGGGGGTGGGGGGTTGCATTAGTGTATTGGCTACATTAACAACAGTAGAGGCTAAGAAAAGTTGAGGCCTGTCTTTATTAGAGAAATAAACTATGTGTAGATAGATGAGTGTCTTTATTAGAGAAATAAACTATGTAAAGAAAGAGGGGGAGAATGAGTAGTAGAGTACCCTCCTTATATATTTGATTCTTGTTCACTAATTCCTATACATCCTCATCACAAAATTGTTCACTCTTTCTTCCTTTTGTCTGTCCTATCATTTCCCTGTGGCTAGAGACACTACTCAAGCATTTAGAAAATGGCGACCAAGAAACCAAAAGTTGTGATAATAGGGGCAGGAATGGCAGGTATTACAGCAGCTAACAAGCTGTACACAGCTGCAGGCTCTAAACAATTGTTAGAGCTGTGCGTTGTGGAGGGTGGTAATAGGATTGGTGGAAGGATTAAGACCTCAGAGTTTGGTGGCAGCAGGATTGAGATGGGTGCTACTTGGATCCATGGAATTGGGGGTAGCCCTGTTTACAAGATTGCTCAGGATATTAACTCACTGGAATCACAGCAGCCTTGGGAGTGTATGGATGAGTTCTTGGATGAGCCATTGACTATTGCTGAAGGAGGACATGACCTCAATTCTTCCATTGTTGAGCCCATATCCAATCTTTTCAAGAAGCTCATGGATTTTGCTCAGGGGAAGGCTATTGACGATGGGGTGTGCAGTGAATTTGCTCAAAGTTACAGATCCTCCAATGACAATCTCAGTATTGGTTCTTTCCTAAGGAAAGGGCTTGATGCTTATTGGGGTTCAATGAAGGACCAAGAGGGAATTGATAACTGGAGCAGAAAATCACTGGAGGATGGCATTTTTGCAATGCTTGAGAACACACAAAGGACTTACACGTCAGCTGGTGATTTGCACACTCTAGATTTCAATGCAGAAAGCGAATATCGTATGTTTCCTGGGAAGGAGATAACCATTGCCAAAGGCTACTCTACTATAGTTGAATCTTTGGCATCTGTTCTGCCAGCTGGTTTGATTCAATTAGGCCGAAAGGTCACCAGAATTGAATGGCAGCCTGATGATGGTGGTTACCACCAACCATTAGATGTCGAAAATGGCGATGATACTAAGCCAGTAACGCTACATTTTTATGATGGGTCAATCATGTATGCTGATCATGTCATTGTCACAGTCTCACTTGGGGTTCTAAAACGAGAGATTCGCGATGATTCTGGTATGTTTAGTCCTCCGCTTCCTAGTTTTAAGACACAGGCAATCTCAAGGCTTGGTTTTGGTGTTGTTAACAAGCTATTCTTGCAATTAAGTCCAACCAAAGATGAAGATGGCTATGATGCCATGAAGTTCCCATACTTGCAGATGGTCTTCCATCAGTCAGACTCAAAACTAAGGCATCCAAAAATCCCCTGGTGGATGAGGAGAACAGCTTCTTTATGTCCAATCTATGGCAGCTCAAATGTTCTATTATCATGGTTTGCAGGCGCAGAAGCTCTTGAACTCGAATCTCTTGGTAATGAAGAGATAGTTGATGGGTTTTCGACAATGATCTCCGATTTCCTAGTAAACTCAAAGCATCTCAACAAGTTGTACAATGGGCATGCAGAAAGTTGTTTCATTTTTGATAAGGTTTTAAAGAGCCAATGGGGTACTGATCCACTCTTCTTGGGGTCATATAGTTATGTAGCAGTTGGATCAAGTGGAGATGATTTGGATACTATGGCTGAGCCATTGCCAAAAAGGACCAATTATAGTTGTAATTCAAAGGGTTCCCCTCCACTTCAAATTCTATTTGCAGGGGAAGCAACACATAGAACCCATTATTCAACAACTCATGGTGCTTATTTTAGTGGCCTAAGAGAAGCCAATAGGCTCCTTCAGCACTATCACTGTATTGATATATGAAAAAAGGTTTGTTGCCATAGATATTAGGCAAAATTTTTATTTACTTATTGGTTTTTCTTTTATATTTTTTGTTGTGATCATCATCACTTCCTCTTTATTTTTTTTCTATAGTCCTTTGGAGAAAGATGTTTGTTATTAAATTCCTCTGTATGATTGGAGTTTGAGGGAGAAAAGGGGAACAGTAAGAGGTTGGGAAGGAAATTAAGTGAAAGGGTGAGAAGGGGACATATCCTTGATGTACTCCTACTAATGAATGAATTAAAGAAGCTTCTTTTCATTGTGCTATTGCTTTCTATTTTAATTGTCAAGAGATCCTTTCAATCCCCTTACCTTTAGTTTCCTTTAATTTCATTATGCTTGAGCACCAATTATTTGATTACTAAAGGTAAAGATAAAGAAGCTTTGGATCTCATCATGTTTTTGTATGGTTACTTGACAGGATCCGTTAAAAGCGCCTATTCCCCTCTAGAATACTTGTTTGCTTTTATAGATTCTTTTCACCCTTATTTCTTAATTTTAGGCCTTCAAATAGTAATTCTTAATTCTAGGATGGGTAATAAGTCCTCCCTCTTACACTGTTATCAAGAAGATCTTGAACCAGAGTGGTGAACTTGGAATTGGAAGGAAGGACTATGAAGTGGCTGAATTTATGAGTTGTTCACATTTCAGGATCCCCTTTTTCTGCAAAAATAGCTTGAAATTCCCAAAAGGGCAGTAGTAAAATTCGAAACTAGACTTTCTTTTTTGTATTTCACTCTTATGCCAAAACTACTGTCCTTGACAAAGAGACAAGAGGTATGGCCATCTGATGGCACTTCTGAATTTTTGTGGCAGAGGGGTCTCTCTCGTAGGTTCAGACCCACACTAGAATGACAGGTCCTATTCCATGCATATGCAAACATACTAAGACAGTTAAGCCACATTAGACTCAACAGTGCCCGAGTCCCAACCCCTTTTGGCACATTTCATTTCTATTCACGTTAGCATCAATCTTTTTTGACAGAAGAAAACTGTCCATAAGCAACAAAATTCAGCATATATAGCTTTATGTTAAGACATTATTACTGCACCATGTCTTTTGTATCATTTCCAGCCTTTAATTAAATAAATGGGCCAAATGGTTTGGCCAGTACCTTTTGGTGCAACATTTTCCATCATCCAACACAAATATTGAACATCATTTCCACATCAACAACCAAAAAACATAAATCTTGTCAACTGTAATTAATCAAAATCTGCTAGGATTTTCCAGTGTTTCTTTTGAATTGACTGTTGTAGGGCAATGTTTTTTGTTATGGATATCGAATGGTCAAATCAATGGAGCTATTAATGAAGACTCTATTATTGTTGAGATTTGCCCCAAAAAAGAATGGCCCACTTGATGTCTCTTTTCACCCTCATGTGGGCTTCAATCAACCTTTGATGATTTGTGCATATCACAGACCTCCCTCCAGCTATTGTCTGATTCAACATTTCTTATCATAAAGTGAAAATGAAGAATCCTTATTCCCCACCCTTTCTCTCTCTTTGCTCTGCTCTAATCATCATTATCACTAACAGTAATGCTTCTATTCTTGGATTAATTCTCCCTTCCTTAATTATTTGGTAGTTTTAGAAATATCATTCCTCAAAGTAGCCATTGTATTATCGACACGTGTGCCTTCTATGGCCCCAACTATTCATTGCTTATCTCTTAATGTATAATTACTGGACCAAACCTTTCATTTTATTATATATATTCAATCCCTTTCGTATCTTTGAAATAGGACATAGATTTGCTTCTGATGTAACTGAAATTTAAGTGTAAGAATGGAATAAAATTTCTCCTGCTGGAATGATATTTAAGAATTGCAATGCAATAGCTTAAATTAATCTTCAAAATGGTAACATGTCATGTCAGCATCCTTATTTTGTACGAGCAACAGTTTGTAAGAATAAACTCATGTCGTGTATGAGTACTTGTTTGTGTGTTGTTAATGAGCAGTTAAGCTGCAGTTGGAACAACACTATTAGATAATCAGGAAGATTAGTAAGTGTAATAGTACAACAATTATTTGAGGTTGGCATCCAAACCAAGTATTTGTTGGTTTCTTTAGTCAGATCATACCAAACAATTAGATAACTGTCCTTTTTCTGTTTTTAAAACAAGATGTTTGTCTTTTTTTTTTTTTTTTTTTTTTTTTTCTGTTTGCTTTGAAACACCACGGCGATCATGAACTAATTCCATCTTCATCTTTATGTAAATATGCATTTTCATAATTAGTACTACTAATAAGTAGAAAAGGCAATGGCCTAGGTCTACTTATTCGAAGAGAGTATCCATCCAACATTGGCCTCAGCACATGCGAGAGGAACATTGCTTTTCTCTTTATTTATTTTTTAATCTTTTTTAACGAAATGGGAACTTACCTTTTTCATCTCAAATTGACTGATTATAACAAGAATCATTAAAGATCATGCAGTACTACTTTTAGAGATGCAATTTGCTATAAAATAGGGAGCATGAATAAAGGGAGAAAATCCTTTTAATTTTAAAAGTAACTACGATAAATTTAGGAATCTAGAGGGCAAAGTACTACTCCTAGGGGAATAGGGGTTTTTGGAAGTTTCTCATCCACCTTAATTCGTAACTGCACATATAATTCTTTTTCACTGACCTTGAATTTTACAGACAGTGACATTTATGGTTATTTTCGAAAAGTAACATATCCTTCAAAGATCCGTCCTTTGGATGAACAGTTCAAATCCATCTTCTTGGATCTGTCTTGAGTTATATTTGCATGGTCCAGTCAAGACCGTTTGCTACCAGAACAAAACAAAATCTTGATTTGATTTCTGTATGTTTCAGATCATGCCATGCACCATGCAGTAACCTGCTGCTGCTCATCGTCATTGCTGATAGAGCTAGGCCATCTTCATTATCCCGATATCTATCATTAGTATGCCAAGAATAGTTGAATTTATTGTTAGAGTCCCACGTCTCAATTTGTCTCCTTATATAATCTTGAGCAAGCTTTTACAATTCATTTACCATTGTCTAATTATCACTTATTACTATATATATGTTTTCCGCCTTTGTATCCACCCTAATGACAGTCCAACCCATCATTAACTTCAGAGAAGGATATCCTTAATCAGAGGTTTCAGTTTCAAACCTTGTGAATTAAATCACTTTTGATAACAAGCGCTTTAACCCCCTCCTCTCCAAAGTGGGACTTTCCCATTTGAATCCAAATTAATCAGGTCCTATATTAAAGCAGTTACAAAAAATCTAGTGGGAAAAAAATTAAAAAAGAAGGCCAGACGCCAGTAACATTTAGCAAACTGGCCATATATATTAGACTTTTCATGTTTCTGAAATTCTTTACCTACTCTCTTTTCTAGTTTTTTCTTCCTTATTTTCTTGAGAAAGGAATAAGGAAAAGAAAACAAATAGAGTTTACAAGTTGTGCTGTGACATATACAGGACTTACGTAAATGATGCAGGTATTTCTATCACAATTCAGCTTATAAAAAGATTCGGATTAAAGACTGATGGTTTTAAAGCTTTTCTTCCTGTTCCAAATTAATATTTATAGCTATTGTGTACATATTTGACTTTTCAAAAAAGGATATTGTACACACATAATACATGAGGAAATTTTTATACGATGACGCCCTCGGCCCTTACTAAAGGGAAGTTAAAGTTTTAACAAAATCAATTTACATAAAGCTAAGCTACATGTAAGACATTGAATATGGGTGGATAATCTAGCAGAGATGAAATGTAATTTGTCGTGGCTAGAACTACGTGTAATCGATAAAATTTGTCAGGACTGCTAGTTATAAATTAACAGTGTTTTTCATGTCAATTAACCATCACAAAATCCCGGTGACACAATCTGAATGTCGATGAAATCATAAACCTCAGTCGTTGTTATAAAAGAGCTCCGACAAGAGGACCCCACCACTTTAAATCTTCCTTTTCATCTTTTTAGTTTGGCATCATTACTCCGTGATGCATGATGTTCGGCTATAAATCCATATTTGAGTACATTATTTACCTTACATTTTAGGTGCTTTAATGCCAAACTATACTTTATTTGTGCGTAATGGAGTCTATTTTATATGTAGATACAGTAGAGATGAAATTAGAGCAAAAGGAAGATTTAAAGTATAAAGCGTGCTCGAAAACAGTTAGAAAGAAGAAAGAAAGAAGTGAGTAGCGGAAAAATTAAGAAGCTGGTGAAGCGAGCTATGGAGCTCGCGTTAGAGCTGGCGAGGCGAGCCTCTGAGCTTGCGTGGGAGCAGGCGACGCGAGGGGTAAGGCGAGGATGAGCGCGCTGAATGCCTGGTACCACACGGTATGGGGCGAGATGCATCTCGCGTTTTACCTCGCGAGGCATGGTGTGAGGCGAGCCTGATCCGGATTTTGAAGGCTTATTTCGTCTCCTTGTTTGACTAGGACTTGGGCTATGTCGTTTAGGTCTTTTGCTACACATATAAATAGACATTAAACACCACTTTTGAAGGAGTTTTGCGACCGGAGGCAAGAATAGCTCGTGGAACACCCGTTGGGGGATAGAATCATCGATTTCTATATTCCTTCATCTTTACTTTGTAATTTATTCATGCAAAATACTTGAGATATTGTTACTATGAGTATGAGTAGCTAAACTTCAAATCTAGGGTTTTGATGGAACCTATTGGAGGATGATTTTCATGTTACGTTAATATAGATTTGCCGTAGTTGTTCTCTATTTGTTCAACTACGTTTATATTGTGGTTGGTTGAAGAGCTCTCAATCGACTGTGCCTATTTAGTATGTATTACTCGGAAGAGAATGCATATTTAGGTAGTTGTTGAGCAACATCACTCCTAACGTATATGAGAGATCAATACAGAGAGTTTAAAGGTGGGATTAGGAATAACGAAACCTTGGTGCGATCCGAGGGAGCCGTAACTTAGTGCCAGCTAGCGTAATTCGGAAGAATATGTCTAGTAAATTATGATATTTACTCGGGAGAGAATTACGACACTTAGAGAGCTCATGATCGGTAGAGAAAACCTAGGCAAATTTATAGGAAACGTAGTGGAAATGATTCCGACAATAGGGGAAATCAAAACCTTAGACCATTCCAATACTTGTGTACAACCTGTTCGTAGTTAGTTATTAATTACTGCATTTTCATTACGTGATATTTAGTTAGTAAAAATCCAATTTGTTATTTAAATATTTCTGAATATTGATTGCGTGAATTTGTGCAAGTCTAGTAGTTGTGCTTAATAGGTTAATCCCCTGTGGG